AGACTCGCTTTTACTGAGCACGAGAGTAATTATTTACAGCAAAGGCTGAGACTTGTATCAAAGTAATTTCATATATAGATCCCCAGACAAGCCAGACATTATGCAAATGTCTTGATGAAAAGCACTCACATTCCTGGTAAAGGCTTTCTGCTGGGTTCATGTCATGTCTCGATTACAGTGTTTTCACTCCAAAACGTCTCTTCAGACTACACTCACGTCGAAGGCCTATACTTGTCTTCTGCACTCCGTCTGTCCTCACAAATTGCTTTGGCTAACCGAGAAACATCTGTGTCTTTGTGTGTTACCTTGGAGACAAGGGCATCCAAATACTAGGAATAAGGAGTGCAGGAGTAGAAGGTTCGCCGAGGGAAGTTCAGATGGGGTTGCAATGTGAGAATGGCTCCGAAAAGCCTGACAATCAGCACATTCCCTTGGCCCGGGGTTTTTGAGCAGAAAAATATCACAGACTGTCGGTGGACGCGGTCAGGCTGTGCATAAACAAAGACAAGGGGGGATTTGCGAGTCGAGCTGCTGCGTGTGACCACAGGCGTAGGAGGAGAGCGAGGGACCGTTTCACCGAGTTTCATCACCGTGTCACCTTATTATCGCCGTCTGCGAACACAGGCCTCAGATTCGGCAACTGGAAAAAATAACGGCTTGCTATTGTGTCATTTTGAGAAGCTAAATTACCAGCAAGCTTTATTCGTTTGTCATTTTTAAAGCCCAAATTGCCTGTTCGCTATCCTTTGGAACAACAGTTTGATTTTCAAATAATGGTTATTTAATCGTTTCCAGTTTTGCATCAAGGGCAAAGCTGCAGTATAACACACAGAGCTCATAAATCACTGGGCTATTGAGACTTTTGTATGACGCACTGTTAGGATTTTAAGAAATGTGAGTGTGTGTGTGTGTGTGTGTGTGTGTTTATAAGGCAGATATTTGTTGCGATGCCAAAACCTCAAAGCCCTTATCAGACACGCTAAAGACATGCAAAAGGAGCAAACCTTCCCACATCATAGAGACATACAGCAGTTAAAACATTTAGTTCCTGCTGTTGTTTTTGGATTTTGTATTTTTTTTTAATTAACATCAAGATTTGAAGTGAATTTATATTAATGTACAAGAGAAAGTGTCTGGGCAAGGTTCTCTAACTGCACATGATTGATTGATTTAAACTGTTACCTTTTATGATCCTGATTCATGATATCTTTTTATGATGGTCTGATAATTTTGTTTTATAAAGTACAGAAGTTTCAAATAATAAACTGTTTTTTAATTTAAATATTTTATTTTTTATAAATAGGTAATTTATTATTATATATATATATAGTGATATCTATGAATTAATCATAATAATTCATGATATTTGCAAATCAGTAAATACATATTTTAAACCATTTTTTTAATTATTGATTTTAAAAATATAGATTTTTTTTTTCAAATTGGTCTAGAATATGCTACTTTACAGAAGCCTGCTTATGCTTATGAGTCTCATGTCTTTTCTTGTTTTTCAGTCTCACAGTAGTTATTTTGTTGTCTAAATACATCTGCAAAGACCAGAGTACAATATAACAGACTTCTGTGGAAAACATCTACAGAACAAGTGCATTATATATATATATATATATATATATAATTTTATTTCAGCTAGTTGCCAAGACAATATTTCTCGGTTTCATTTAGTTTAGTACAAAAATAACTAAAACTAAAATTGAATTAAAAACTATATAGATGTATTTTTAAAAGAACACAACATTACATAAAGTTTAACTAAGATTAAAATGAGAGCAGAAAATATAAAAATAAAACCTAATACAAAATATGAACAAAACCTATATCAGTGATAGTAAAATAATACTGAAACAAAATACCTTACCTTACCTTATTTATTTATTTAAGTTTATTTGTTTTATTTTAACCATTTATTTTAACCCTTATGATATTATGTTGCGGGTCAATTTAACCCATTTACATTTGTCAGAAATACTGGTTAACGTATTACTTTTTTTTTTTTTTTTTTTTAATTGTGTAACTTTTTCTCAGTTCTGTGAAATGTTGAAATTGTATCGAGTCAAAAGTCCACTTTAAAAATTGTACCCATTTAATAAAAAAAAAAAAAAAATTTTTATATGTAAGACAGATACCTTCAATATATTCCAAAATGTGTGCCAGGTTTTAAGTTTTAAGTTACTTCATCCTCATATTCTATGTTTCCATTTAGGAAAACCCTTGTCTGATCAACATTTACCCCTCAACTCACTTTTAATTTCCCTTGGATTATTGTCTAAAGTACAAGATATGATGTGTACAGTCCTTGCTGAGAAACCTAAAGTAGATTTAGTGGACTGTGAACCTGCTATGAGGGTCAGCGAGAGGTGAAGCTCCCATCAAACTCAAGTTTTATTGTGTCCATTTCCATGGATTGTCTTGCATTATATTTATACCGAAAGGTTTGCATTGCAAAAGCCACCCTAAACAAAACAAACGATTTCCAGTGGCCACAAAAACAGCTTTAAGTGATTATTTCAGTCTTAAGGAGGGTCTTGTGAGCAGTTACACGTCATTAGCAGGCTTACCAATAACCAGACCAATGCAGTAAAAGCTTGAAAGTCGACCTTTATTAATACTGTGAAAAAGTAAACTTTATGAGCCTTTCAATAGATGCATCAGTATTGTTGTTAATACACTTACTACATCACAACACAATATAATTGTGAATTATAATTTGGGTATCAACTTGTTTTTGTGGAATAGTACAGATCACAATGTTTCAAATGATTGCCACAACAAATAAAACAAAAGAAAAGCACAAACCTATAGCATCACACTGCAGCTGTTGCCATCAATAGCTTTGGTTTGGTCCACATTATATCTCATTTTAATAACTGGGAGAAGTGAAAGTTTTTGCTTGTTCACAGCTGAGCACTAGTTCACTTTCATGGCAAAATGGGGAGAATGGGAAAACAAAATTCATGCACCAATCTTTATATTACAACAGAAGTATAAACAGTGCTACTGTATCATACTTGAATGACGTATAAAAAGTAATTAAAAAACAAAACAAACACATAGAAGGCACTGGCTGTTTTCTGAGGCGAAGTGATTTTTTAAATTTTAATATTTTTTGGTTTCATGCACAGTGTCCTGTTTGTAACAGAGGACACCTTGTCGTATTCAAGTACCTTCCTTCAGGCGTGGGGATAATAAATTAAATGCTGTGAACTGCCCTGCAGTTGCAATATGTTTGATGATGAAACGCAATATCGACATACGTACAGTACAGCTGTGGAATACAGAAAACATGACGAGAACTGACCTGACTTTGTATTTAGAGGTTCAACCTTTACAAAAATCAAACTTGATTTCATGAAACCCGTCAAGATCATGCCTGGATCAAAAAAAAAAAAAAAGACTTTATCTTTCAGTCATTTAGCATTTAGGACACCCCCTCTATTCTCATTACCATAATGCAAAAAAAAAAAATATATATATTTATATAACTATATATATATATATATAGTTATAATGATATTTTTAAAATACTATTTAGTATTTATACATCATGGTAATATTTGTTGTACTTCCTTTAATATATGCGGATATAAATATTGTATTATATATTTATGGAAGCTTGTTTCTGCCACAAGATAAAAAATAAAAAAGGTAATTTCTAGTCAGAATAGCAAAATATAAAGTCAAAATTGCAAGATATAAACTTGTGAGCTATAAACTCGTAATTCTGAGAAGAAAAGTTGGAACTGTAAGATGAAAAAGTCACAAATACGTTTTTTTTATTTTGAATTCCGTGGTGAAAAAATAAATAAATAAATCAGAATTCTGAGAAAAAAAAGTCTGAATGGCGAGATGCAAATCTGGAATTGGAATTGCACAGTTCTGACTTTTTTTCCAGAGTCTGAATTTTGAGATAAACATTTGCAGTTATCTTTTTTATTGTTTATTCAGTGTCGAAAATATTTGCATGCATATTTGTTACATTTATTACATAGAGTGTCTCACAACCGAATCATTTTTAGGTGTTGGATAAAAGTCCAGTATAAACTAAAAAAAAAAAAAAGTATAAATCCCGCACACTATAATAAAATATCATGATGCAATTTAGAGAAGTGTATTACTATACTAATAATCTAATAAAAATCATTGAGAATAATGGTAAATACAAAAAACTAATCTTGAAGCATTACAGTAACGAGAATTTTGAGCTTAAATGTGCTAAATGTGTCATAATGGAAATATTTATTTTTATTATTTCTTTTCATTTTGTTGTGAAATGTGACCTGGACATGTTTCCATGACATTCACCCACACTGTAAAAAGTGATAACTTGCAATTGTTACCTTAAAGGGCCATTTTTTTTACCAGATTTAATCCATAAAAATGAGTTTTGTTGGTATAAATGCACGCATTTAGGTTGATTCAGTAATGCTAAATTCTATTTTATGATTTGAACAAAATCATTACATTTCGATTTTTAAGTTCCCATTTTTTTTTTCAGTGCAGATGAAGATCTGGAATAAAATCGAACCCATTCCTGAATCCCACTTTTTGCACCTTCGAGAATCTGTCAAAATTCCAGCAACCGCGTGATTTGAGACAAATCCTGCACATCAGCTGTACCTAAACGAAGGACCTCGTGACATACTAAGACATTAATCGTGAATCTACAGTAAAAGAAACGGTCCAACCCTGCCTTTACGCATTCATCACTTGCATTCATCTTACATTTTGACGTGCGATGATATTCTCCTTTGGTCGCATCGACTCGAACTTTTGTACAGGATCAGAGACTCACCTGAGAGAACCTGCAACTCAACAACTGTTGTGAAATCTGCAACAACACTGAATAAAAAAAAAATAAAAAAATTTGAAATATTAGAGAGGCACTAACAATATAACATAGCATCTAATACTGGTTACTTTGGACATTTTGGCATGATATCAGAAGCTCATAGGATTCATATGTGCTTTAAAATACTCTAATCTGTCCAGCCTCAATAAAAAAAGAGCACAAAGCTGAAAACGGTCTCTCTTAATCTGCGTATGGAAAACTCAGTAGTTGAATTTTTGTCACAACAGTTATTTCTTACTTTTTTTTTTGCTGTCCAGCAACAAACTACACACCACATCCTAATCGAATCTGACCGATAAACACCGCGTGCATTTTTTGGTGAGAGGAGCATTTAGTTTGGCTGTCCGGATGAATTGCACTGGATGTGGAGGCTGGATCTTTTTCTTATGGTCTGCCGGCGAGGCTCGGCGGGGCGCGTAACGGAGGGGGACAGGGTGGTCCTGGCGGGACGCGGGCGGGCGGGGGTCCCGGCGGAGGCTGGGGCAGTGGCGG